GGTGGCAGCACCTCCCCGCGCGCTAGTTAAAAAGAAGAAGAAAAGAGGGAGCGAAACATGAGAGGCTGTGTGAGAAGCTGCAGCCGCCGGCAGAGGAGACCTCAGCATCATCCAGAGCCCAGCGCTGGCCCTGCCTCCGCCTGCCCCGCCGCCACCGCCGACGTTTCTGTTCCTGCTACTGTCTCACCTAAACAACTCCCGTTACACGGACAAGTGAACTTCTGTGGCCGTCTCCTCTTCTTCCTCCTCCTTTTCCAACTCCTTCTCCTCCTACGTCCCAGCTGCAGCGGAAAGCCCCTAACCCAACTGACACTGGCACAGCCGCAAACGGTGTCATCTGCACAACTTTCTCTCGCTCCTGCGGTTCCCCTGAGGCATTGGACCCATCGCCCCGACTTTTCTTTTTTGCAAAGTTGCATCGCTTTACGTATTTTCGCCCCGGCCACTTCCCGCAGCCTCTCCAGTGTCCCGCCGCCCCGTAGCCTCCTCCTGGAGCTGCGCCCTAGTGCCCCTGCTGGGCAGTGGCGTTACCCCCCACCCTCGCGCGCCCAGCCCCTGCCGCTCACGGCAGACGATGCTGAAGATGCTCTCCTTTAAGCTGCTACTGCTGGCCGTGGCTCTGGGCTTCTTTGAAGGAGATGCTAAGTTTGGGGAAAGGAGCGACGGGAGCGGAGCCAGGAGGAGAAGGTGCCTGAATGGGAACCCCCCGAAGCGCCTGAAAAGGAGAGACAGGCGGATGATGTCCCAGCTGGAGCTGCTGAATGGGGGAGAGATGCTGTGCGGTGGCTTCTACCCTCGGCTGTCCTGCTGCTTGCGGAGTGACAGCCCGGGGCTGGGGCGCCTGGAGAACAAGGTAGGGACTCGCCCGCCTCACGGATGCGAACTTGGCATAAGGCTGGGTGGGGTTCCCTGTGGCTCTGGTGATGCTGGTCGCTGTAAGAAGTGCAAAACTTGTTCGGGGAGTTCTGCTGATAACTTGTTTAAAGCGCTAACGTGATTCCGTTGTGTGATCCTCTGGGGTGCGCAGATAGCTCTCCCGCCCCCAGAGCCCGCGGTCGGGATGCTGTGCAAACTTGGCTGTCTCAGAAAAGAGACGCTTCTGTGGTACCCTCATCCCGTGCCGGGTAAATATTTTAAAAGAATCGCGATTAACAGTGTATTTTGGATCAAATCGGATATTGGCTGCGATGAAACTGTAAATTAAGGTGGCTGTGGTTTCCGGTTTATTTTTCTAGGGAAAAAGATTTGTGCAGTTTTCTCCACGTGCTCGGTTAGAGGGAGGATTGAATCGTAAAGGATGTTGAAGCATGGTTTGGTTTATGATCCTCAGCCCCGTCAGAGGGGGGGTGTCTTGCATTACAATAGTTAAGCCAGCGGAAAGGAACTCCTGATACCTCCGGTAGAGAACCCGAAAAACTGGCGAGTGATTTTGCTGGGTCGTGTTTATCACATAAAACTGAGACGATTCTCTGTCATTTTGTAACCTTATATATTCAGGCTTGCCGTGGTGATGAGTCGTCTAGGAAGACCTCTAGGAACTTGTTTTAGGGGCGATGGTGTTTATGATTCCCTTATGTTGATAAATGTTAACCAAATAGGAACATAGTGTCGGTCGAGTGCAAAGCCATGCTTATTTTTGAGTTTGCAATCTCTTTCCTGCCTTGGGATGCAGTAATGTGTGCTGTGCACTGTACAGACTGCTGGATCACGTCATTAACAATCACTGCACGTGAAATAAACAATCAGGTGTCTTTGCTCCCCCTCCCGTTCCCCATTTTAGGTTTAATTAAGAATTCCTCTGTTACAACACTGCAGTTGTCAAGGTCTGAGAGACTCTTGGAAAACTTGTGCTTCAGTCTTGCTGGCCCAGGCATTAAAAAAAAAAAAAATACCCAGGCTGAATCTAATTTTTATGCTCAGTTCACGGTAGATTTCACTCTATTCTCATGTAAACAGCTCCTACGAATCAACATATGTGTCTGGGTGGTATCTCTCACTTTGTTTTGTAACAAAAAGCCATATTGCATCATTTAATTTGCTCAAGTCATGCAAATAGGAAAAAATCAATAGGACAAAAAGGGGTCGACTTATCCTCCTCCCCACTAAACTGCTGCCCACACACAGAGTCCTGTTGCTTATGGCAAAAGAATAACAACAACACCATTGTATTTGTTAGTTGGTTCACTAATGGGTGAAACTAGAGAACATCATTCTCTTTCAGTCCCCAGCTCTGTCCAAATGTTCATGCCTTTTGAGGGAGCATTTGTCCAACTCCTTCTATTCCCAGATGAGTGAGAACTGTCTTGCTGCAGGTTTTCAGCTGCAACTCACTCTTTATTCTTACCATATGCAGCAGTAGTCTGAGATTCAGGGAACAGATATTCCAGCATTTTTTTCAAAACAATGTCATTAAGCTCCAGTGTTATAATTGAATTAAGTTGCAAAACAGCTAACATTCAGATTATCTTAAAGGTTTTACTAGGAGCCCCCAAGGAACCAGAAACTCAAAGAAAGGTTTAGAAACATTTGCCATTAAGTGTCCCTGTGTGCAATCTGGGCTATGAGTATACAGATGATGTAGAGACCCCTGCAATATTGACTTCTCCCAGGAACATAGTGCAATGAAAACTCTGTTCTTAACTAAATATAGTGGAGTGAAGGGGAGGGGAGGAGGGAGCAGGGGAATTACAACCCTTTATAAGAGAAGCTGTATAAATTTTTTTTTAAAAGAAATCATCCTTTAGGAAGCAATCTGCCACGTTAGCTATCCACATTCCTTTCTTCTTCTCATGCTCCCAATCTTCAACAAACCCCTACTCATTTGGAAAATGTGTCTGAATTATTAAATTGGGCACACTGGTCTTTGCTGGTTCCATTACAAGTGGTTTATAAACCAACAGTACTCAAATTGTTCAAACCAGAGGTTTGATATAGCTATGCATATGCATTCTTGACCTATGTTAGTTCTCAAATTTTAACAGTTTTCAAAACATGTTATTTTATAATAAACTTCAGTGTTTCCTTTTTCCCCCATAAGCCTTCCTGGATTATAATATATGTTAGGGTCTTATTTCATAATGTGTATACAGGAGAGATGATGGCTATTCGAAAGGGCCCTTTTTTGTTTAGGAAAGAAAAAAATATATTTCCCCAGGAAAGATTTCTGCAGTTTTTCAAGAAACTACAGTAGTAGCTTTTTTCCTAAGGGAAAAAATTTCTTTGACAAATAGATAGTAAGAAACTAGGTAGGAATATTAAACATGCTTAGCTCTGCAATTAAATCTAGTTTCTACACTAACAGTTTTTCTTTAATGAACTAGCATTGAGTTCATTTCCTTAGCCATGATACTGTGTTTTTGTATTTTAATTCCTGTACACTATAATAACGTCATGTATTGTAATGAGGTTGTAAACTGCCTTTCAAATAAGTACTGCCAAAATTTAGGAAGTTATATTGTCTCAGGAATATTTTTGCAGGTCCTAAATACAACATGCTAAAAAGATCTAATTTCCATTAGCCAAATTAAACCCCGACCAAATGAGTTGCCCCCATTTCTAAAACTTAACTTGTAGCCACAGAGGCATAGAAGCTCTCTCTACCTTGGGTGGTTTCACAGCCAAAGCTGTCAAGGAATGGGTGAAAAGTAATTGTTTTCAAGTGTGCCCTTTTACAATCATTTGTTTGCTCTGGCTCTTTCAGGGACAAAGGCTATTGTTGAACACATCCAACTAAACAAATAACTCATCCTGGGGTCCCTTTAACAGCTGCCTTAGTACAATGATCTATTTACATATTAGCCTAAAATTGAAACTGAACTCTTTAATGACATAATCCAGCAATATAGTCCAGAGACGCAAGTGTTCTATGGAACAGCTGAACAACCTTGTAGGCATATGATTTTTAGAAATAACTTTTTGTGTAACCAAGTGATCTTAAGGCGACATTTTAATATACTGTCATTATTTTCTCCTTTTGTCCTTTTCTGGAACCCACGTGGGTGTCTTTTTTACCCTCTTTGTTTAGTTACTTGATAAATAAGGAGAAATACAGAAGGTCTCTGTCACCGTTTTACTGTTTGTTGATAAGCTATAGTTGTAGGCCACACTGGACCCTGTATCCCAGGAGTTATCTTAACTTTCTTATATGGATTTCACTTTCATGTGGCCCAAGATTAAAAGGATGACCTGCCAGATGTTACAAATTAGTCAGTCACTGCCACACTCATTACTGGGCATGCTGCAATAATGTATCAAAAGTTTTAACATGATTTCTTCCAAAGTATATTCAGTTTAAACCACTGTAAATTAGATGGTTTTGTGTATGGCTTTAAAAAATTGAAACAGGAAATTAGCTTAAAATTCTTCTGAAGATGGATTGTATTGTCAGAAAGTTAAGGACCTGGATGAACATCGATATATAGGCAAAAATAAATGAATAAATAAGGAAAAGAAAAAAAAATCACCCTACCATACCCACACCAGTACTCATCTGTCTAAACCAGAGTAGTGGCTTTGGCCGAGTCAGTTTAATTGACTTCAGTAAGACTATTGCAATGTTCATTGAAACCCAAGCCAGAATGATGGCTCTATCTATCTTCAAATAGGTATTTACACTGCAGACCTCACACAGAGCAAAATGTTACCATCCTGCTGGGCCGGAACAGCATGAAACTTTAAAAAGAATAATATTATACT